GCTTTCTGCTTAGTTATGGATATGCGAGTAAAATTCAGGTTGTACGATGTTTGCTGAGTTGTGGTGCTGACGGGAACGTCTGTGGAGGAGTAAAGGATCGTCCATTGCATTTGGCTGCAAGCAGAGGCCTTTCGGCTATCACTTCCCTATTACTGGAAGCTGGGGCTGATCGTATGTCATCGCATTTCTGAGTTATTTCAGCTTTTCCTCCCATCCTCATTCTAATTTTATGACGGGATGCTCGTTTGACGCTTTACAGCGCATTCTCCGCATTTTTCTACTTGATTACCACAAAGTTTGACTCATTTGTTTTGGTTTTTCTTTTAAGAATAAATTTCAGCACAATTGGCCGATGATGAGGGCAACCTACCTTTGCATTTTGCTGCAAAAACGGGACATATGGCTGTGCTAAATATTCTTCTACGAAGCAGTTCTAATGTTGTCGAGGTATAGCACCGAATTATACACCAATGAAAATAGATCGGTAGAGAATTTAACAATCTTGGAGTCGCAGTAAAAGTGTTATACTTTTGTAGCAAATTAATCTACTTTTTCATCTCCCAAAAAAGTTCTGCAGCGTTTTACTCATCAAGCCTGCATCCATAGAATCTCAACATGGCATATTGAGCACCCCCAGCATTCCAATAGAAAGTAGTAACCTGAATCTACCAATAAATAATTAAGAAAGAATGAATATGCGTAATGATATTATTAATTCAGTTGATCAATTAGTTATAGTTAGAGTTTACTGATTAGCTCACTTTTTTTTATACTTCAAAAAAGCAACTTAAAGACATACCTGTTTGCAAATTCAAAGATGGTTGCTATCACGTAGTTTATATGCTCCTTTCACCCGCTCAGGACACACAAATTCAATACCAGTGCAAGTAAATGTGGGGAGACTACGATGACCAAAGTCTGAGATCGAGGAACGGGGTGAAATGTACAGTTTTTGTTTCATTACAGTGTAATCTTGGCGTTAAGTCATAAATAAGTAATTTACACAGACTAGGAGCATATATGCAATGTTTAACTTTAGAATGTACCTTTATCTAACGAGATAACAAAATCACACTTCCAAAATTGCCAATTAATCTTAGTATTTTTAGATTGTGGCTACTCGCAACGTTTACGGTGATACTCCACTTCATCTGGCCTGCTATGGAGGACGTCTGGATGCAGCTAAAGCTCTCATCACTGCTGCTGGATCTCATCTGATGGTTTCTGTGAGTTTACCTCTACGAGCACTTTTTATCGTACCACAAAACTTTTTTTTCATAGGAAAATGTCTTTTCCGAGACACCATTACACGCAGCTTGTACAGGAGGGAAGTCGATCGAGTTGATTGCATATCTGATGAAACAACCAGGTGTAGATCCTAATTATCAAGGACAAGATGGTCACACTGGTTAGCTGATATCGCATAGTTATAGGCTATATTGTTAAAAATAATATAAATTCTTCCAACTGCAGCTTTGCATTCGGCATGTTATCATGGCCACCTGCAGATTGTACAGTATCTACTTGAAAATGGCGCTGACCAATCTCTAGCAGCTCGTACTAACGAAAGACCAACAAATCCTCAAGGCGCGCGTATGTTCTTTTAGCTTTTCTTGGAAAAACTATGGTTACACCAGCTGCAGGGTTATTTTTTTAGCACAATCCACCTTTGCTGCAGCAATAATGGCTTTGAATCGGCCAGAAACATTATCGGGGATTTCGTCGCGTGACTCGGTTGTTTCTGTTGAG